TTTCTCTTTATTGCGGCAAAGCCTGTTGTCAAGACTGATGTGACGACGCCTCGCCAAGCCACCGTGTGACGCGAACGCGTCATCAGTGAGGTTGGCGTGACCTTCACTGTGTTGTACCGCAATCATTCAGGTGATTACGGGACGATGATTACGCCACGGTGATTACGCCATGATTGTGGGTACAGGATTGTGGGTACAAGATGGGCATCGACGTGGCGTTCTCTGATTGGATAAGGTAACTGTGTATCCAGTAGAGAATCCAGTAGGGTGTATCCAGTAAGAGGTATCCAGTAGCAGGCTTAGAGGTAGCACGCGGTTGCGAACTAAGGACCTGAATCGAATCACTTTGCATTTTGCCAACTACTGCTCAAGTGTTCTTCCTTTTGGTTATGAGCCCAAGCCCCGTCTTCCCTGACCAAGACCCCGACTACGCCTTCGCCATGGACGCCGCCCCGACCGCGACCGCCCGCATCAACAAGTTCGACGGAACCAACTTCCACACATGGAAGTTCAAGATGCAGATGGTGCTGGAGGAGCGCGAACTGTGGGAAGTGACGAGTGGGGAAGTGAAGCTCGAGCAGTGCACGACCGCGGCGGACCAAGCGACGTTTCGCAAGAAGTCGCGCAAGGCGCTGGCGATCGTCTGTCTCGCGATGGAGGACTCGCAGCTGCCGCTGGTGCGGTCGGCGAAGGATGCGCATGATGCATGGTCAAGACTCGAGGGACACTTCGAGAAGAAGAGCCTGGCGAACAAGCTCTTTCTTCGTCGACGGTTCTTCACGACAACGATGGACGAAGGTGATGATGTGCTGGAGCACATTAACAAGCTCAAGACGCTGGCGGAACAGCTCGACGCGGTCGGCGCTCCGGTCAGCGAGGACGACTTGGTGATCATGCTTCTTGCCAGTCTGAGCGAGTCGTACCAGTTCCTCATCACGGCGTTGGAATCGCGTTCCGACACGCTGACGTGGGAGCTCGTGACGTCTCGGCTCCTGCACGAGGACATGAAGCGCAAGGAACAAGGTGGCGGTGCTGACGGAACCGCACACACTCAAGGTCAAGCGTTCATGACAAGCGACAACGGGAAGCGCAAGGGACGGCAGGCGCAAGCGCAGAGGACGAGCGCCTGTCACTACTGCGGCGAGCACGGACATTGGATCGCCAAGTGTCCGGTGCGGATCCGCGAGAACGGGGAGCGGCAGAGGCCGCAACGAGCGAACGTCGCGCAGGTCGAAGATGACTCTGGCGACTTCCTCTTCTCGGTTGGTGGCGACACGGGTGCCTCCAAGCTGAGCGGCATGTGGCTGGTCGACTCAGGTGCGACGCAGCACATGACGTACTCGAAGGAGTACATGAAGAACTACAAGAAGATCTCTCCGGTGGACGTGCATCTGGCGGACGACGGCGTGGTTCAGGCGGTGGGGAGCGGCGACATCGTGATGTCGATGCAGACACCGCGCGGCATGAAGAAGGGTGTGCTCACGGGTGTGTGGCACATCCCGAAGCTGTCGCGCAACCTGTTCTCCGTCGGCCGCTTCACCAAGGACGTCGGGCCAGTGACCTTCGAGAGCGACGGGTGCTTCGCGGAAACGAAGGGTCTCAAGTGGAAGCTCGGCGCTCGCGAAGGCAAAGGACTGTTCAAGCTCTGCATGACGCCGAGGACGCCTGCTGACGAGGCCAATGCGGCAAGCTCGAAGAATCGCCAAAGGGGACACCACGTCGTACCTCTGGCACCTTCGACTTGGTCACATCGGCCATGGTGGTCTCGACGCCATCGTCAAGAAGGGCTACGGCACTGGCATCCCAATGACGTCGGTGAAGCAGTGGGAGGTGTGCGACGGGTGCGCACTCGGCAAGCAAACGCGAGTAAGCTTCATGAAGGCGTCGCCGAACCGTGCGAAGCAAGTGCTGGAGGTGGTCCACAGCGATGTGTGCGGTCCGATGCAGACGGCGACGTTCGGAGGCAAGCGCTACTTCGTCACGTTCATCGACGACAAGTCGCACTTCTGCGTGGTGTACCTGCTACGGAACAAGTCGGAGGTGGCTGCCAAGTTCGCTGCGTTCGTCGCGTTGGCTGAGACGCAGACCGGCAAGCGAGTGAAGGTGCTTCGGAGCGACAACGGCGGCGAGTACACTTCGGGTGCGATGGCCAAGTTGTGTGCGGATCGCGGCATCGAGCAGAAGTTCACGCCACCATACACGCCTCAGCTCAACGGAGTGGCCGAGCGAATGAATCGGACGCTGGTGGAGTGTGCGCGCTGCATGCTGGAGCACGCCGGGTTGTCGAAGGAGTACTGGGGAGAAGCGGTGATGACGGCCACGTTCCTCCGCAACCGGTGTCCGACGCGCGCCATCAGTCACGACAAGTCGCCGCACCACGTTTGGACCGGCAAGAAGCCTTTGCTGGCCAACCTCAAGGTGTTCGGGTGCCACGCGTACGTGCACGTGCCGAAGGAGAAGCGGTCGAAGTTCGACGCTCGGTCGGTGCGCTGTCGTTTCCTCGGGTACTCGGAGCACGAGAAGGCGTATCGGTTCGAGGAGATCGAGAGCGGTCGCGTGTTGGTGAGCCGCGACGCGCAGTTCATGGAGGATGTCTTCGACGGTGGGAGACGCGACTACGCTTCGAAGGAGGTGTTGGTGGGTCTTCCGACAGATGATGATGAAGACACCACGGATGAAGAGACTCAGTCCGGATCAGACGAGAACAGAGAAGAAGCTGCGCGGAATCAAGACTTTGAACCCGGCAGCAAGCGACACCCGCGCACGCAGTCGCTCGAGGAAGCCGTGGAGGTTCCGAGTGCCAAGCGGTATGCGGTGCCGAGACGACAGCAGCCGCTGGACGAGATGTCTGCCGCAGCACAAGAGAAGGAAGACTTCGAGGCTGCGTACGTCGTGGATTCAGTGGGAGAGATGCCGACAACGTTCAAGTCGGCGATGGAATCCAGCGACGCAGACAAGTGGAAAGAGGCGTGCGACTCGGAGGTGGAGTCGCTCCGCAAGAACGAGACGTGGACCCTGGTGCCACTGCCGAAGGGACGCAAGGCGATCGGCTGCAGATGGGTGTTCCGCGTGAAGGAGAACCAGTCTGGAGAGATCGAGCGGTTCAAGGCGCGACTGGTGGCGAAGGGGTTCTCGCAGAAGTACGGCATCGACTACGACGAGACGTTCGCGCCGGTGGCCAAGTTCACGTCGATTCGGGTGTTGCTGAGTCTGGCGGCCAAGTACAAGCTCACAGTGCACCAGATGGATGTGAAGACCGCGTTCCTCAACGGCTTGTTGGACGAGGACATCTACATGGCGCAGCCGGACGGATATGTGGACGGAGATCGACCCGACTACGTGTGCCGGCTCAAGCGTTCGCTGTACGGCCTGAAGCAGTCGCCGCGGATGTGGAACAAGACGATCGACGAGTTCATGTTGAAGCTGGGGTTCAAGAAGTGCGAGTCCGACCACTGCATCTACTTGAAGCGGGACAATCACGACATGATGTTCGTGGCACTGTACGTGGACGATCTGGTCCTCGCCAGCAGCAGCGACGGGATGCTGAAGGACACGAAGCAGGCGCTGAGTGACCGGTTCGAGATGACTGACATGGGCCAGCTCAAGTACTTCCTCGGTATGGAGATCGAGCAAGATGTGGCGACTGGGAAGGTGTCGGTGCGGCAGACCAAGTTCGCGAAGGACATTCTCGAGAAGTTCAAGATGGATGAGAGCAACCCTGTGAAGACACCGCAGGATCCGGGTCTGAAGCTGACCAAGGCCATGTGCGAGGGAGGCTGCAAGCACGACGAGACCATGGCGAATGTTCGGTACCGGAACGCCGTGGGCTGCCTCATGTATCTCATGGTGGGGACTCGTCCGGACCTCGCAGCGGCAGTGGGAGTGCTGAGCCAGTTCGCAGCGGACACACTGGCAGGCGCTCAAGAGGGTCTTCCGCTACATCCGAGGCACGAAGACGCACGGCCTCGTGTTTCAAGCGAGCAGCGAGGACGGACTGCACGGCTACTCGGACGCGGACTGGGCCGGCGACATCGAGTCTCGACGGAGTACGAGCGGCTACGCGTTCATGATGAACGGCGGATGCATCAGCTGGCGAAGCAAGAAGCAGCGCACGGTGGCGCTCTCGTCGACGGAAGCCGAGTACATGGCGCTGTCGGAGGCCACGCAGGAGGCGGTGTGGCTCAAGGTGTTTCTGTGCGAGCTGGGCGAGATGGCGAGCGATGAAGCGGTGAAGATCTACGAGGACAACCAAGGCTCCATCGCGTTGGCCAAGAACCCGGAGTTCCACAAGCGCACCAAGCACATCGACATTCGCTACCACTTCGTGCGCGAGAAGGTGGAAGACGGTCAAGTGGTGGTGCAGTATGTTTCGACACTCGACATGCTGGCGGACATCATGACGAAGCCGATCGCGGCGCCGCAGTTCGACGCGCTCAGGACGAAGCTGGGCATCGTGGTCGCTGACGAGTCGAGTGGAAGTGTTGTCAAGACTGATGTGACGACGCCTCGCCAAGCGACCGTGTGACGCGAACGCGTCATCAGTGAGGTTGGCGTGACCTTCACTGTGTTGTACCGCAATCATTCAGGTGATTACGGGACGATGATTACGCCATGATTGTGGGTACAGGATTGTGGGTACAAGATGGGCATCGACGTGGCGTTCTCTGATTGGATAAGGTAACTGTGTATCCAGTAGAGAATCCAGTAGGGTGTATCCAGTAAGAGGTATCCAGTAGCAGGCTTAGAGGTAGCACGCGGTTGCGAACTAAGGACCTGAATCGAATCACTTTGCATTTTGCCAACTACTGCTCAAGTGTTCTTCCTTTTAAGCCGCCTACGGTGTAAATGTATCCGGTTCACTATCTAGCATAGTGAACCCTAGCCGTATGCATAATCAGTGGCTTTGAAGCCATGTACTGATTCTCCTACTGATTTAGGTTATACAGAGTGTACCCACTTCGTAACCCTTCGGATAACTCTCGTGTAACCCCGTTGCAGTTGAAGTCATGGAGGCTATTTGCTCCAGCCCTCTGTTTCGAATCGCGGCTCCTGTGTATGACCAGGAATCGGTTCGTCGTGCAGCGTCTGAGTTCTCCGATATTAACAAAAGCAACATTTTGACTGGCTGTGTAGGCTGTGTAGATGGATGGCTATGTGCAATTAAAGCTCCTTCTAGCCGTGAAGTCCCCGATGTATCGGCATTCTTTTCGGGCCATTATCTTCGACATGGAATTAACGTCCAAGCGATGTGCGATGCGGCGTGTCGGTTCACTGATTATTGCATCAATTCTCCGGGCAAAGTTGCTGACAGTGTGGCTTTTAAAAAGTGGAAGTTAAGCTTGGGCATAGCCAATCTGCCTTTGGGATATTACGTCATTGGAGACAACGCATATCCTTTGTCCTCTACGGTCCTTGTTCCTTTTACCAAGCCGGAGATCAAGTCTACTGACTATTCCGACTACAGCTTTTATTTATCTCGGCTATTGAGGGTTGCTGGTCTTGGGTACTGTGTACCAGTTGTACCCATTAACCAGTTAACCCGAACCGGTCCAATCCGAACCCACGTTGATTATGGTGATTACGGTAAGTTGTTTACGCCACCGATGATTAGACGAGTAGGATGATTGGATGAACACCGGTGAGTGATGGTTGATTAGATGCACTAGGTGATAGGACGCAGGGTCGCGTGTCTATAACAGTAGGGTGTAAGCTCCAACAATTCAATCACTTTCGAATCTTCATTCTACCCCTCAAGTGCCTTCGCTCCGGTCCCGCCGTCTGCGACGTCCCTCCCTCCGCTTCGTCCGAGCTTCGTGTCCAAGATCCATACCTTCCATCAGGTTATGAGCCCAAGCACCATGTCCTCTGCCCAAGACGCCTCGACCAAGGTCTCCATTGACAAGTTCAACGGGGACAACTACGCGACGTGGAACCGCTACATGCGTGGCGTGTTCGTGACCAAGTCGACGTGGCATGTCGTGAACCGCGAGACGACGCCGAGCTTCACGGACTCGCGGGCCAAGGACGACTACGTCAAGTCGAGCAACATCGCGTTCGGACTGATGTTGCTCCACATGGACGCGGACTACCACCATGTGGTCGACGACTGCGAGGAAGCGTGGGTTGCGTGGACGCGCCTGAAGACGCTGTACGGTGGTTCGCAGAAGGCTGGACGCATCTACCTGAAGCGCCAACTCTTCAGCATGGAGATGTCGGAAGGCGGCAACGTCTTGCATCATTGCAACGAGGTCCTCAACATCAGCGCCAAGCTCAGCAGCATCGGCGCCAAGATGGAGGATGAGGACGTGGCGATCTGCCTGTTGCGCAGCCTCCCCAAGAGCTACGAGAACGTCGTGCTGAACTTGGAGATGAGCAGCGCTGAACTACGATCGCAAGACGTCGTGAAGGTGCTGACGAATGAGCACATCAAGAGACAAGGCGAGGAGACGGCGACGGTGAAGACGGAGAA